AATAAACCTGTCAGCTTCATAGTATCATCCAGATGCTCTCTCCCAGATTAACCAATTACTTAATACCCAAATCAAGCCACTCCTTCACTTATAAGCTATTAAAGACCAATAGATAAAGATTTAGTCTGTTTGTCCAACTAAACCTGACAGCTCTTGCTCAGGTGATAGTTGCTGAAATATTACTGCTTATCAAACACTTCTTATGCCAAAGTTGCTAGGTTTCAGATTGTCAGCTTTGTCAGAAACTTCATTTGTTCTAAGCAGTTAAAAGGATCTGTACTTTAAAGACATTTGCTTGATAGAAGGCAAAATGATGAAATAACCCCCAAATTAAATCACACCTATTTTTGACGCTTCTCCACCCACCCCCAATTTAAAGTCATCACAAAACATTCTGCAGAGGTAAAGCAAACTGGAAAAGAGAAGACTTTTACTTCATTATTCCCATTTTTTACTTTTCTTTCTATTTCTTCATTGGTAGGTATTATCAAAGGGGGGGAAAGCACTTCAAACTTACCGAGTACAAAGTGCTCACTTGCATGTTACTGCAGATTTTTACTTACTGCTATCACTAAATGCCACTCATCAGTTATGTGACTGTGGGTAACTTTCTCTCCTATGAGTTGTACCATATACCCTTTAAGAATTTTTTCCTAGTCTAAAGTACTATTGTTCTAAGATTTGAGAAGGAAACAGTTGGTAGCTAAGAAATATTATAATGTTATGAGAGTTGATAACAACTATACTCTTCATTTACTTAAAGTTTTAGACCTCCACTTATGAAGACAGAGAATATCCAGGGGCCATGAACCCCAGTGCTAGAAGTACAACTTCTTTTTTTTTTTTTTTTTTGTTAAGTAGGCTTCATACATGGAGACCAATGTGGGGCTTGAAGTCATGACCCTGAGATCAAGACCTAAGCTGAAGTCAAGAGTCGACTGAGACACCTGGGTGCCCCTTTCCCCTCCCCCACCTATTTTTAGAAGTACAACTTCTTGATTTAATAAGTCTAAGACAAACTGGTAACATTTCAGGAGTTCATTTGTTAGCTGGTAATTCAGAACATGGAATATTGGTTTTTCCACAGTAATGATGTGATACATTATGGTTAGGCTCTTAGGCTAATTCACAAAATTGAATTTAATCTTCAAGTGACTGTCCAGACAATTTTGACAAAAATAGAAAAATAAATATTGCCATACTAGGAAAAAAAAAAAAAAAAAAAAAAAAGAGAGGCACCTGGGTGGCTCAGTCAAACACCCAACTTCGGCTCAGGTCATGATCTTGCAGTTTGTGAGTTTGAGCCCCATGTCAGGCTCTGTGGTGACAGCTCAGAGCCTGGAGCCTGCTTTGGATTCTGTGTCTCCCTCTCTCTCTGCCCCTTCCATGCTCTCGCGTGCACGCACTCTCTCTCTCAAAAATAAATGTTAAAAAAAATTTTTTAAAAAAAGGAAATGAAAAAAACCACAAATTTATCTCAAAGCCTATTCTTCACAGTGAAGTCAACCAAAGGATCCATTGACCTGATTACTCTGTAGATGCTCCAAGTAATGAGATTATAACAGCCCACTCCTTAAGTCCATGGACCCCAAGTGCTCTTGCTTAAATAAAGAAAAATTTTCAGGTACAGGGGACACAAGGGGATCAGAGGTATGCCAAAGCCCAAAGCTGGGAGAAAAGCATAAAGGTGAAGAGAAGAGGAGCACCTCTTCTTGACTATCCCAACTGCAGTGGGAAAGGAACTCAGACTCTAGAACATTCTCTTCACATCCCAGCTAAGGATTCCCTGAGCAATGCTCCTGGAATTTAGTGGCAGCTCAGTAAACATGGAACCTAAAAACATATAAGGTATGCTTTCCAGCTGAGACAGGGATTGTGGAAAGGAATGATTCCCTAACATGCCATGCTGAGAGCTCACCACTTGCTCCTGCCAGAAGTGACCACAGTTCTGACTGGGAGGACCCTGCCTGGAAGAATGGCTGCCTCCTTGCTGTGACTGAAGCCCCATTTCAACCCCTTTTCAGGGCCAGGTCTTCCAATGTATTTGTGTGTTCACAAGTTTGTAGTTGTAACTTGTGGGTGTCTATCTTCATCATTTGCTAAGGCTTGAAATAGAAAAACCAAACAACTGTTCTCTTCTCCTGGGAAGAACTGCTTACTGTACTTACAATTTTACAGTGATGGAAAATATCCCTATGTAAGTCTGTATTTGGGGCAATTCAGATTTTTAATTCATAAGTACTTCTCCACGTTCACTATGGAAAACAATGACCTATTTAATTTGGACAAGTTTAAATATCAGACAGAGTTTCAAAAGGTATTTGCCGGGGCGCCTGGGTGGCGCAGTCGGTTAAGCGTCCGACTTCAGCCAGGTCACGATCTCGCGGTCCGTGGGTTCGAGCCCCGCGTCGGGCTCTGGGCTGATGGCTCAGAGCCTGGAGCCTGTTTCTGATTCTGTGTCTCCCTCTCTCTCTCTCTGCCCCTCTCCCGTTCATGCTCTGTCTCTTTCTGTCCCAAAAATAAATAAACGTTGAAAAAAAAAAAAAAAAAAAAAGGTATTTGCCACGCTAATATTCTAAAGTTGCCATTTCAGTTTACCCTTAGCCCTCTCCCTGATATTAGACCACTTTAAAGCTAAAATCACACTTCTGCTCTCATTTAGATATTATAACCAAAAACAAGTAGCAAGGAATATGGTATGTCAGTTAGGACACAATATATATATATTAAGCTTTTAATTAATTGTTGCTGAACATATGAATAGATCTGCAGTACACCCAAATCCATATACTAAAGGGATCTTTCAGTTCTTTAATAAGCATATGCAAATGTGATAATTCATCACAATCTAAATTGAGTTTTGGATTCTGCCCGCATTTGAAATATTGCCAGGAAGGAAAGCATAGGTAATATACCCAGCTATCCGAGTGGCACTCAGAAGATGATCATGTATTCAACTCTCTTACTTTACTTATAAATGTTGCTTTTCCTTCAGATTAAATCCAACTTTCCTTCCCTAGCCTCTTCTTGTTACGCTGAAGACACCAGCTTTATGTCTTCTGGTATAAAATTTTGTGGTTGTATGAACTTAACATTGTAAATGTTATGTAGCAAAGTATTGGACAAATTCACTGAAAAAGACAACTGTTAAAAGCTTATAGTAAAGAAATCTTGCTTTCCTAACCTTAAGCCTAACTACTTACTGCAGGAGTGACTTGGCAAATTTCCAAAAGACTGTTCAAATCTCTCCCTTTCTGAGGCAAGTTACAGAAACCTCTACCTTTCCCCCACTGAAACATAAGTATCCAATGTGCAAAAAAGAAAGAATTTGGGGGTTTTTTTTTGTTGTTAAAAAAACAAATCAGGTGCTACTTCCACATTGCAATGTTCAGCAAATAATGCATTTCTACCAGCTTTCACTTTTCAGATGGGCCACTTCCTAGGCTGAGAGGCAGGACACCAAAATGGGAAGGAGAAGTCAATGTCATAGTGTATAAATAGCTGTGGCCAAAAACAATATTGCAGAAGAGCCAATAGGAGATGGGCTCCCCAAATTGCGGCAGGAGTGACTTAATTCCATGTATCCCTTCATGAGGGCCTCAAGGAAAATTATCATCAGGAAATAAAAGGGGGTGGGGGTAGCAGCCAGGACTCCCATGAGATTTCTGATCTTTTGTGAAAGAAATAAACTTGCAGTGCTTTCTAGAGTTTCTGAAATGCACACCTATCTTTTAAATCTCAAATGGTATGGCCATGAAAAGGAAATCTTTTCCAGTGTAAGTTGGTATAGAGAAAAAGAGTGCCCAATAAGAAGTTAGTCTTTTCTCAGACCTACTTAAAAACCACTGAACAATACCAACGCCGATTTTACATTGTTTTACTCACTCGTTACACGAGGTAAAGTTTGCCATCACAAGGCAAATCTAAACGAGAACCCCACTTCATACAAAAGTAAACCTTGCACTGTGTTCCTATCATCATTCATGACACACAATCGAAAGGTCCATAATTTCACACGATGACGGTTAATACACTTGAGATCGAGGGGCCAGACTGCATGGGGCACACAATTCACTTCCTAAATGTTTGCTGGACTTTTCAGGATTGCTCTCAAGTGTTGGAAGTCATTAAGTTTACCAAGATTCTGCAGCCGAGCACACGCACGTACTGTTTAGGGATCAGCGGCATTCACAAAATGTAGGCAATCATAAAGTTATGTAAGAAAAGCAGTCCCTCCTCTGAGGAATTAGTTCGGACGGACACACAAGAATCCAGGAAATCGCACATCCTCCTTGCGGGGCCGGGTTACAGGAACTAGGTAAAGAAACAATGCAAAGTATACTGGGAAACGAGGGCAGTTACAGCTGAAAAGATGCAGGCAACGCCACCAGAGGCATCTTCAAGCATTCCTTCGGAAGGAAGGTGTACGTTGTCCCTAAAGAGCCCCTGTTGACCTGGGTAACGGTACAAGCTGAAACCACCTCGTCCCGACACGAATTCCAGCACTGGAAGAGGAGACTGGGGTAGGAAGCATTAGATGACCCACTGCCTAGGGGTGCCGAAGCTGTCACCGCCCTGGGACTCGCGCACAGCCGGGCGCTGCCACCTGCTTTCTACTTCTTCAGAGAGGGCTGGTGACGCGTGGTGGGCCCGAGAGGAACCAGAGGCAAGGATAATGAATCTGCGGTTTCTAAAGCCCAAGCACAACAAGATGTCCCCAGAGTCCGACCCCCACAGCCGGGCGACTCTTCCCACGCGGCACGCTGCCCCAGGGGTGGAAGGCTGAGAACTTGCAGGCGTCTGAGGCGAGGGCCAGAGAACAAATGGGGAGGGGGGCGACGCCGGGTCTCAGCGTCGGGGTCGCTCGGGCCCTAGCGCCCGGACCGTGGGAAGGTAGGCTGGGGGCGGGGCCGCGTGGAGCCAAATAGCCAGGGGCCGGACCTGGGAATCCCCCGGGGCGAGGGCGGGCGCGGGCGCAGAGGGACGCCTATGGCCGCTACCTGCTGCTGGATCTTCCCGTCCTCCGTGACGACCCAGTGCGTGGTGGCGAAGGCCCCTCGAGCCGCCACACTCAGCAAGGCGGAAAGACTGAGGAGCCAGCCTGGGCCGGAGCAAGGCGGCAGCTCGCACCGGCCGCGGACCCCTACTGCCGCCGCCATCTTGCCCCCCCGGCCCGGCTGCTCACACCGGAAGCGGAAGCGGGCCCCCGCCGCCCGCCATCTTGGGGAGGTCGGCGCTGGAGGAGGTGGAGCCCAGGGGGCGCTGCCCGCTGACGACCGGCTTTTTCAGCCTCGGTTTGGGCTACCGGGGCAGCCGGGTTTGGCTTTAGGTCGGAGACCGCGTTTTTGTTATTGTTTTCCTGTACGCGATACGATCTCGTGGGGTGCGAACCAGAGGGAGATAAAAGTAGTGTTCTAGGTGGAGCCTAAATTGAAATAACAGGATTCAGAGAATACGTACAGAGTGTGTATGTCTGTGTGTATATATTGATCTATATTAATAAAATCTTGGTTTTCGCTTTCATTTTAATTCCTGGTTGTGCAATATAGTTGGGAAATAAAAGGTATGCTTTGAAAACGCCTAAGGGAACAGATGGATTCTCTTTTATTCTTCAAGTCTCTTAACAGTAGAAGCTTCAGAGTTGGACTGGTTGTCAGCCAAGGGCAGCGCTCTTCAGTATAAGTACGTAAGCCTCGAGCCACATACAAATTTTTAAACAAAGACAGTGAAATAACACATTTTATTTAACCCATTATATGTAATATAGTATTAGTTCAATATGAAATCTGTACAAGTTACTGAGATATTTTTTGTACTTAGTCGTGGGAATAGGTGTGTATTTTAGATCTAGAGCTCAGGTAATTTCAGGCTAGCGAGATTTTGGGGCTAAGAGCCGTATGTGGGTAGTGGCTACCTCAGGTCTAGGCTGGAAGTCTAGATCTGGAGACCTAAACAGCATTGGCATCACCTGGCAGTTTATTAGAAATGCACATTCTTGGCTCTTCCACCCCTCCCCATCAGATTCTACCTTTCAGCAAGAGTCCCAGGGTACTGGTATGTACGTTAAGAAGCACTTCCCTCTAGTGAACCAACGTGGGGCCAAGCGACTAGCCTGCCTTCTCGCTTCTAGTTAGATATGTTGTTTTAGGTATTTCAGGGCTGCCTTCTAGCTTTGTAGGTTCATTAAGCTTTTGGTTTTCTCTTTGGGAAAAGGAGGGTGAGAATTTTGCCTGACCACTTCCCTACTTTGGCATATTGCTGGAAAACAAAAATAATTGCCAAGTGTTTAAATATAACTTCATACTATGGAAGCAATGATCACAGCATTGGTTTTTAGTTCCTTCTGAAAGTAGGTTTTCTTAGAGGATTGCAGTAATGAACATGCATCTCCCTAAAAATGTGTGGCTTATCTGCTTTTTTGTCTAGTACTCTGCTAGACAGTGGGTATGGAGATCTGACCACTGAGCAATGTGCAAGCTAGTGGAATATTGGCAGGTTAACAATTGAAATACAGGATGTATTATTCCTGAGTATTCCTGTGTGTGTGTGTGTGTGTGTGTGTGTACTACATATTCTTTATCTCTTTATCTGTTCATCTATCCATGGACATTCGGGTTGCTTTTGTATCTTGGCTATTGTAAATAATACAGCAATAGAACATAAGGGTACATATATCTTTTCAAATTTGTGTTTTGTTTTCTTTGGATAATTTCCCAGTAGTGAAATTACTGGATTGTATGCTATTTCTATTTTTAATTTTTTGAGGAACTTCCATGTGTGGATGCACCAATTTACATTCCCAACAACAGTGCACAAGTGTTCCTTTTGCTCCACATCCTTGCCAACACTTGTTGTCTTTTTGATTCTAGTCATTCTGACAGGTGTAATGTAATATCTCATTGTAGTTTTGATTTACATTTCCCTGATAATTAGTAATGTTGAGCATCTTTTTATGTGTCTGTTGGTCATCTGTATGTCTTTTGGAAGAAAAATGTCTATTCAAGTCCTCTGCTCATTTTAAAATCAGATTATTTTGGGGTTTTCTGGTGTTGAGTTGTGTAAGTTATTTGTATATTTTGGCTATTAATGCCTTATCAGATATATCACTTGCAAATATCTTCTCTCATTCAGGCTGCCTTTTCATTTTGTTGATGGTTCCTTTACTGTGCACAATTTTTTTTTGTTTTTTGGGGTTTTTTTGGGTGCAATCCCAGTACTTTATTTTTGCTTTATTTCCCTTGCCTTAGGAGACGTATCTAGAAAAATATTGATAAGACCAATGTCCAAGAAATTACTGCCTATATTTTCTTCTAGGAGTTTTATAGTTTTAGGTCTTATATTTAGGTTTTTAATCCATTCTGAGTTTGTTTCCATGTAGGAAAGTGGTCCAGGGGCACCTGGGTGGCTCAGTTGGTTAAGCGTCTGCCTTCAGCTCAGGTTATGATCTCATGGTTTGTGAGTTCGAGCCCCATGCACTGACAGTGCAGATCCTGCTTGGAATTTTCTCTCTCTCTCTCTCTCCCCCACTAGCACTCGCTCTTGCTGTGTCTAACTAACTAACTAACTAACTAACTAACTAACTAACTAACTAACTAACCAACTAACTAAATAGTGCTCCAGTTTCATTCTTTTGCATGTAGCTGTCCAGTTTTCCCAGCACCATTTATTGAAGAGACTGTACTTTCCCCATTGTATATTCTTGCTTCCTTTGTTGTAGATTACTTGACCAGATAAGCATGGCTTTGTTTCTGGGCTCTCTGTTCTGTTCTGTTCTGTTGATCTATATGTCTATTTTTGTGCTAGTGTCATATGGTTTTAATTACTGCAGCTTTGTAGTATATCTTGAAATTTGGGTTTGTGATACCTCCAGTTTTGTTCTTCTTTCTCAAGATTTCTTTGGCTACTTGAGGTCTTTTGTGGTTCCACATAAATTTTAGTATTAATTGTTTGAGTTCTGTGAAAAAGATTGTTGGTGTTTTGATAGGGATTGCATTGAATCTGTAGATTGCTTTGGGTAGTATGGACATTTTAACAATATTTGTTCTTCCAGTCCCTAAGCATGGAATATCTTGCCATTTGTTTGTGTCATTTTCAATTTCTTTCATCAGTGTTTTATAGTTTTTAGAGTAAGGTCTTTCACTTCCTTGATTAAGTTTATTCCTTAGTATTTTATTCTTTTTGGAGCAATTGTAAAATGGAATTGTTTTCTTAATATCTCTTCCTGGTATTTAATTATTAGCAAGTGAAACACAATTGGTTTTTTATGTATCCTGCAACTTTACTGACTTCATTTTTTACTTCTAATAGTTTTTTGGTGGAGTCCTTAGGGTTTCCTATGTATAGTATCATGTCATCTGCAAATAGTGACAGTTTAACTTCTTCCTTAACAATTTGGATGCATTTATTTTTTTTGTCTGAGTGCTGTGGCTAGGACTTGCAGTACTATGTTGAATAAAAGTGGTGAGAGCGGATATCCTTGTTCTTGTTCCTGATCATAGAGGAAAAGCTCTGTTTTTCACCATTGAATATGATGTTAGCTGTGGATTTTTCATATATGGCTGTTATTATGTTGAGGTGTGTTCCCTCTAAATCCACCTTGTTGAGAGTTATCATGAATAGATGTTAAATTTTGTCAAATGCTTTTTCTGTATTTATTGAGATGTCATATGATTTTTATCCTTTCTTTTGTCATTGTGGTGTATCACATTGATTGATGTGCAAATATTGAACCCTCCTTGCATCCCTGGAATAAATGCCACTTGACCAAGGTGAATGATTCTTTTAATGTATTTTTGAATGCAGCTTGCATTTTGTTGAGGATTTTTGCATCTATGTTCACCAGAGATACTTGCCTGTATGTTTGTTTTGGTGGTACTTTGTAAATTTTGAACAGCTAAACTTGTAATTCTTTGTTCAATTAATTATACATTCTTAGCATACGATAGCAGGAAGCATTTCCTGTACAAATATATTTTTATCTTCCAAAACCCTTGGTTAGTTTGACTTTTATTTATTATCTCTATAGAATTTTTGAAGCCAGGAATTGGACAGTGATAAAATGAACTTTCTGGATCATTTCCTCCTTTGGGCCATTTTAACTGAAAGTTGCAGAGAATCTCCATACTGTTTATTCCTTAGAGAAAATATAAGATATAAATATAACTGAGAGAATTAACATTCTGGTTTAAATTCTGTTAACTGATTATCTTTCACTTCATGGAAAACCAACTTAAATTGTAGTGGCTTAAATGTTTAACTTTAAAACATGATTTATTATTATTTCATAGTTTGTTGGCTAGACTCATCTGGGTGTTTCTTCTCCTGCTTGGCTGGGGTCACTCATAAGGCTGCACTCAGCTGGGACCTCAGCGGGGGCTGTCCCAGAATGACTCCACATACATATCTAGTGCTTTAGCTGGAGTGGGTGAAATGGCTAGGAGTGGCTGGGTTGTCTCTCAGGATAGTTAGAGAGGCTTCTGACATGGTGGCCAGGCTCCTTGAGGGCCAGACCCAGAACTGGAAGTGTCTCTTCTGCATTCTACTGGTCAGAGAAGGGAATAAGGGTAGCTCAGATTCGAAGGGAAAAGGAAATAGACTCATCCTGATAAGTGAAGCATTATGTTCAAGCAGATATGGAAGGAATTATTGGCAGCTTACTTTGCATATAGTTAATTCCTTTAGAGGGATTTTGAATTGATAGAAGTTGAAAAGGTGGATAGGGAGGGAGGCTAGTTATGGCAGGGAGGGCTGTGGAGGTATATCTTTCCAACAGCTATATGCAAAGTGAACACAGTTTACAAAGGGAAGGCAGAGAGTACCTAAATATAATAATTTCATTTAGAAATAGTTTGCCAAGTAGATCAAGCAGTCTGAAGCATGAGGACTACTATGGATGAGACCAAATGTCTAGTCAGCCAAGGATTCTAATTCACAGTGACACCAGGGCTGCTCTGAGGATAGCATGATGGTCAGCCCCAAAAGAATTTTCCAGATACAGACTTCCCAGACATTAATTTATCAAAAGCCTTACAGCTGTTAATATATTTGGGGAGGACAGTTTCTGTGGAGTAACTGTATTGTCTATTCATTCTGTAAGTAGCTAAAGGTCATACCTGTCCCCACCCCCCGTTTTTACTACCACATACACTCAAATTTCAAT